CACAGAGAACATTTTCCAAATAATTGACAGAAAGTTTTAAATCGGTTTGTTAGAACAAAACAGTCCACTGTTGCTAGGAAATATGCATAATTAAAATCTTGTGTTGGAGGTGTTGCTGGAGAAGTTGTCCACTAGATGCTGTGAGAAGTTACAGTTACTGATGCAGTTCCAGCACTGAAATGCTATGTGAGAGCTGTGAGGCAATCACATGGAAATACTGATTTTAGAAAGTCTGGACAGGACTGTGTAAATCAGGAAAACTAGAAAAGCCAAGTAGTCATATGCTTTTATGTCCAAGGGTCTCAGACCCTTAGTAGGAAATCTAAACAAATTAGGAGTCTGAAGTTTATTTTGTGAGTCATCCATTTGACAAGGAACTAATACATTTCTTTCTCCAAAATAAGGCCAGATATAAACTGGATAAAACACAGTTTTATACATTCTTACTGATAAGTCATTGAATTTCAAAGGAATTTTCTCCAGTTTGCAAAGAAACTGAGAAATCTTAAAATTAACCACTAGTAAAATATTTTACTCCTTCTCATCCCCTAGTTGCAATCCTTTTGGGTTAGGCTTGATGCTCATTAATGGGATGAGATGGGCAAGCTCACACAGCTTCCATCTGTACTGTACTTCTGTGGGTAAAGAGAGGACTACAGTTTTCAGGGTTATTAATCTGGCAGTTGTCTTAAATGCTAGTATTAATAATTTCTTCCTCTCCATCCCATCCATCTTCTTCAGGGGTGGGCAAACTTTTTGGCCTGAGGGCCGCATCGAGTTTCGTAAATTGTATGGAAGGCCGGTTAGGGGAGGGGTTTGTGGGTCAGCCCCTACCTCCTATCGGCCCCCGCCCTCCCCCGGGACCACTGCCCCATCCACACACACCCCGCTCCTTGTCCCCTGACTGCCCCCAGACCCCCGCTGCCCCATCCAACCCCTCCTCTCATTCCTGACGGCCCCCCAGGACCCCTACCCCATCCAACCACCCCTTCTCCCTGTCCCCTGACTGCCCCCTGCTGCCCCATCCATCCTTCCCTCCTTCCTGACTGCCCCCCCCAGGACCCCTGCCCCCATTCAACTCCCTGTTCCCCCCCGACCCCTATCCACACCCCTGCCCCTTGACCACCACCCCTGAACTCCCCTGCCCTCTATCCAACTTCCCGCCCCCTGCCCCCTTACCACGCTGCGTGGAGTACCGGTGGCTGGCAGCACTACAGCCGTGCCGCCCAGCTGGAGCCGGGCCATGCCACCGCTGCCGCCACCACGCAGCACAGAGACCAGGCCGGGCTCTGCAGCTGCGCTGCCCCAGGAGCTCATAGCCCTGCCGCCCAGAGCATTGCGCCGGCGGCGGAGCGAGCGAGCGTTGACTGCGGGAGAGGGGGAACAGTGGGGGAGAGGTTGGGGCTACCCTCCTGGTCGGGAGCGCGGGGGCTGGGCAGGACGGGCCCACGGGCCGTAGTTTGCCTACCTCTGATCTACTCTCTGCCCATCCACATAGTCTTACCATTCTTAGAGCAAGATCCTTCTCCTCTGCAGCATCTTCCCTCCGAACCAGCCTTCCTGTATTTCTTTGCCTCGATTCTCCTGCACAGTTCAATTCTCTCATCTTTTTTCCTTTGCCTATCTTTCATGAATAACAAATAACAGAGGGTCAGATAAATTAATTCTATAGAGTGTTATGGGATACAGTTTGTATGAACTTTTAAATCTCTAGAAAATGTAGGCCTGTTCCTCAAGACCTTACTCATGCAAAATTCCTGTTAATTTCAGACTTACTACTTGTATGGTTTGGTGGTTGGTTGGCTGGTTGGTTTGTCAGTTACCTTAAACTTCCTGATCTCCTAGCCTTGGGAGCTAAGGGAATGAAATCTTTACACTGTGTACAAATGAAACTCATTTGTGGGGTGGCTGAACTGGCAGGAGAATGAAACGTCAGCCTTATGAATGATACCAGCAGCCAGACTAGAAGCAAGAACAGTTTTACTGCACAGATGGATTATTTTAATTTTTGCTTTGTGTTGCATTTGAATCTGCAACTGAGATAATTCAGAGGCAGATCTAATATCTGACAGATCACATTAGATTATTTCCCTCTAAAATTGGATGCAACTGGCAGGTTTTTGTCACACCAGTTCTCTTACCTCCTCTTTTAAAAAAAAACTTTAGTGTTAAAGGCCTGATTTTGCTTTTTTTGCATAATCAGAAGAATTCCCACTGACTGCAGTAGCAGTTTGGGTACACAAGGAATGTAATAGTATCTTGTGAACCTTGTAACCCATACTTGCAATCTCCCATAACTCAAGCCTGACCCCAGATGTACAGTACCTTCCTTCTTAACTTGTGTAAATTTGATTTTAAACATTAACTTTAATAAAAGTTTTTAAATATCCAAACCTAAGAAGGAAAATCAACCACTACAGTTCTGATTACTGGCCAACCTGGCCATGTTTCTGAAGTGGCACTTCAGACATCTCTATTAAGGATTGTTTGGTGGCCCCTTCATTTCAGGAGGCCCATTCTCTCCTCATTCTACAATCTAATTCAGTAGTTCTCAACCTTTCCAGACTACTGTACCTCTTTCAGGAGTCTGATTTGTCTTGCGTACTCCAAGTTTCACCTCACTTAAAAATTACTTGCTTACAAACTCAGACATAAAAATACAAAAATGTCACCTCACACTATTACTGAAAAATTGCTTAGTTTCTCATTTTTACCATATAATTATAAAATAAATCTATTGGAATATAAATATTTTAATTGCATTTCAGTATGACATGTGAGCCTGTTTTTCATTTGTAAGTCTTGTCATTCTGAAAGGTAGTAAACAATTAAGCAACAATTAAGTTTTTCTCCACTTGAGTCTATTCCTACTCTTTGTCTTGATGGCAGTCATAGCCAGGGCCGGCTCCAGGCACCAGCATTCCAAGCAGGTGCTTGGGGCGGCAATCTGCAAGGGGCGGCAGTCCGTGTGTTTTTGCTGCCTCAAGCAGAGCACCGAATTGTCGCCACGGATGGCGGGGGCAGTCCGTGTGTTTTTGCTGCCTCAAGCAGAGCACCGAATTGTCGCCACGG